TCTGCACTTTTGATAACTCAACAGCGCCACCTGGTGAACGGTATAAGACATTACAAGTTTTTTGCATCTCCAGTGACCCGACGGCGCCCCCTGCTGACTGTGGCTGGAACTGCACCAAAGAGTGCTAAAAATTGAACTATTTGATTTTCTTTTTTTGCCGGTTTTATCGGTTTTGTTCTTGAAGGGGATTATTGGTGGGTATAGGGGTATTGCTTGGTTGTTTTACTTGGGTTTTTTTTTTCGTGTTACGTTAATGCACACATACCTTTTAATAAAGGGCTGTTATTTTTTCTTTTTCCCTTTTCCATAATTTGTTTTCCTTCAATCGGAGCCTCTTAATTTCGGATCTATAATTGCTAGAGAAGAAGGTTTGGGTCTTTTTCTCCTAATCCATCCTCAGCAAAAGACCCTTGTCTCAATTAAACTGAGACACCACTGTAGACTGGTTTCTTTAAGTAATATGTTCAACCTGGGAATGTCTCCTACCCTTTGCAGAACAACTCAAACTGTCTTCCAGAAGTCAATTACAAAGAGATGCTGGTAGGTTGAAAGTCTGGGGAGAAGGTGTCCAGGCTGTCTGGTCAGAAACAGAGTCCCTAAGGACTGGAGGAAGCAAGAAGTGTGTGGCTTTTCAGTGTAGAAATACACAGCACCTCCAAAATATGAATAAATACCTTACCTCGCCTCTAGCTTTTTGATCTCCCCTTTCAGCTTCTCAATTTCCTCGTTCTCTTGAAGGTCTTTTCTGACAGCCTTTCCAGGAGATGCTCTGAAACAGATATCTATTGTGAAATATCTTTGTTTGTGCTTGGACACTGGCACAACAAAGGACTCACCCCTACTGAATAGTCTGAATTTCAGAAAGAAAGCTGGGGGGCGGGAAAGCACAGAGCATCCAGGAAAAACTCCAGAGTAGCCTAACAACCTCCCCTGAAAGCCCCCCCCCCCCGCCCCCCCAGGATTTATGCTCAAATCAAGGTGGAAGCTATTTACATCAGAAGAAATGGAGGTGTGGTTGTGAGGATCATTATGATTTCCCCCTCATATATAAACTTTTAATATAAAGAATTGCATTACCCGTTGCAACTCTCCAGGTGTTGTAGTCGAGTATTAACAGAGTGAGCCCAGTCTCTGTACTTCTTTTCTATGCGTCTATCAGGGAAGAAAGAAATAATAAACCACATTAAAGTCAGTAGGCAAGCATGTATTGAAGTCTTACAAAATGCACAAGCTAAACTTCCCTTCTTCCAGTTTCTAATCAGCCCATAGGGAAAAAAAATCTAGAGGTGAAAACTTCTCAAGGCTATTCTTTGACAGGTGAGTGGTTTGTGATTCTGTGAGTCAACAGCAATAGTACAAATAAGATATTCCAAATTGTGAAATCTGCATGTAATATAGTGCAGATCAAGCAGCTTCTGTAAATCCGCCCCAGGTTCCCAGTACAGATTGGATGAAATTTGTTGCTAACACAGAGCCCTTGCGTCTGGCTTATTTGTAATCTTCTGTCCAACCTGCCCTAGTGTGCACCAGCTGCAGTTGATCATCAGGGGCCATGCTAAACACAGTCATTTCTGGTCACCAGACTCACTCTATAATTTTTTCCACATCTGTTATCCTTTTTTCCAGACTATAAGAGAAGGCCTCCGGGGTTGCTGTCTGCTTTCCATGGGCTGGTGGCTGCCATGAGTTGTCAAATATATGTCTGAGGAAAAAAAGAAAAGGGAATTCTCAAAATGAAGGGGGAAAAGAACACATACTTGAAACAAGTCCCTTATAATAGACAGTCCTGTGAGCAGAGGTTTCATGATTACGTCCAAGCTTGCAAACGGATCAAAGATAGGACAAAGGCTCCAGGGCACACTGATGCAGATTTGGCAGAAGTGAGCCTGATACAGCTCAGAGGACTCCACAGGCCAGGGTTTGCCAAAAATAGGAGGGTTTGAGTAATCATTAGGTCTGGATGAAATGGGCAAGATACAGGGAGAGCTCCTGAGAAATGAACTCAACCTAGAACTGCAGTGTGTGGGGAACAGCAAGTGCACGTGACTAAAACCAAATTTGCAATGTACGAGTGTGGGGGTTTTTTAATAGAGAAGTACAAAGCTCTGTGTTCTCGAGGTAATTTTTTTTCCTACAACTGCTCTGTGTCTTGTTTCCTAATGAGAATCCCAAATATCAACTATTATTGCAGAGACAGTCCCAGATTAAGGTGCTCCTGCAGGTCGGATGCAGATGGAGCAAGCTCCTCCCTGCAACCAGATGTCAGAGAAAGCCTTAAAATAAGGCTTTACTATTGGTTTGTGCCAATACCAGTCTGCACAGCTGATGCAAGGGACTGTCCTTCCCCTCTCTCTTAGCATTTAGCATCCCTCCCTCTCCCCCCGAAGCACATTTTGGTTTTGTTTACTTGAAGGGATTCCTTTCCAGTTAAATCACTTCATTTCCAGTCTTTCAGTAAAGAGAGTTTTTTTGTTCTTTAAGCTCAACAACCCAGTATAAAATTTGCATTTTAGTCAGCCTTTTCCTGCAAAATTGATGAGCTCAGAGTCTGAGTGCCAAAGTCCTGGATCTTGTTACACTATTTATACTGATCTTTTCAATTTGTCTACCTCTTACACTGATTTAAGATCTGCCTTACGTTCTGGAGCTGAACTTAAACCGAACTTGAGAAAAGTAACCATCCCTGTGATGGATAGGAAGATTAGGAAGAAGAAAACAGAGCTTTTACTGAAATATTTCACAGTCAGGAAATGTTTGCACTCTTTCATTACAACCCCCCAAGGAACTTTGTAGAAATATTCAGACCTACTAAGGTTAAACTTGGTAAGTTTATCCAGAGACGTTTCCTGTGTAACATACCTGCTGCCTTGCGTAGTCATCATTCTGGGATCAGCATCGTAATACTGTTCTTCCGACACCTCTGTTGTGCTGTAGGCAGAAGAGTGGTGTGTAGCCATGCCTTTAGAGCAGCAGCAGATGTTTGTTGAAATGAGTGGGCAGCACCAGGGACGCTCCGTGTTGCTGCAAGTGCAGGAAGTTACTGAAACCTGAAAAAGGGTCTTTGCTGCTGTAAAAAACAGAAGAGCTCTTTACAGGAAAGGGCACAGGTCGAGTGCCACACCTCTCTCCAGCCCATAAAATCAGTAGAGGTGGACCTTCACCCTGGAGCATCAGTCATTGCAGTTTCATCCCAGTTCCACCTGTTCACTCCTCTCTAGCTCCCAGAGCTGCACACTTCTGCACTGCAGTTGGCCATGGCCAGCAAGTCAGTCTTTGTTGTTGCTATAGATTTTGGCACATCCTACAGCGGATACTGTTTTTCCCTTGCTTCAGGTACAGACCAAATCCGCGAGGTGTACTGGGGAACAGAGCACGGGTTCAAGACCCCAAAGACACCCACGTGCATCTTGTTCAACCAGCAGCAGGAGTTCAAGAATTTTGGCTATGATGCTGTGATGAAGTACAAGAGCCTACCCTCCAGCAAAGCTGAGAGCTGGTACTTCTTCCAGAACTTCAAGATGAAGCTGTACAACACAGTAGGTGAAACAGTTACTGCTGTGGGAGTCAGACCTATTAATTTATTTGTGGTGTGGGGTTTAGAGAACTGATGAAAATGGTTGAGTAAAATTGGCTGATGAGAAAGAATGAACATAAATCAAGGAGTGTTTTTATGAACGGAAGAAGAAATTATTTATTTTTGTAATTCGCTGAAAGCTTCATGGACCCTTCCTTTATGATGTTTTTTAATTGTTTAAAGACAATCAAAACCTGACTGCATACCTGGGTGAAGCCAAATATACATGTGCTGGTTTTGGCTGGAGTAGAGTTAATTTTCTTCACAGTGGACAGTTTGGGTCTGTATTTTGCGTTGTGCTGAACACAGGGTTGATAACATAGAGATGTTTTTGTTATTGCTGGGCAGGGCTTACACAGAGCCAAGGCCTTTTCTGCTTCTTGTACTGCCAGGCTGGCGAGGATGTTGGAGGTGCATGGGAGGCTGGGAGGAGACACAGCCAGGACAGGTGACCCCAACTGACCAAAGGGATATTCCAGACCATATGACATCATGCTCAGCACATAAAGCGGGCAGAAGAAGGAGGAGAGGGGGGACGTTGGGAGTGATAGTGTTTGTCATCCCAAGTCACTGTTATGTGTGATGTCCTGGAGATGGCCGAACATCTGCTTGCCCACGGGAAGAAGTGTTTTGTTTTTCTTTGCTTGTGTTCAAGGCTTTTGCTTTGCCTATTAAACTGTCTTTATCTCAACCCATTGTTTTTTTGGCTTTTCCCCTTCCAATTCTCTCCCCAGTCCTGCTGGTGGGGGAATGAGCAAGCAGCTGTGCGGGGCTTGGTTGCCACCTGGGGTGAAACCACAACAGTTCTTTTTGGCACCCAGCATGGGGCCTTCCCACAGGCTGTGTTCTTCACAAGCTGCTCTAGCGTGGGTCTCCCGTGAGGCCACAAGTCCAGCCAGCAAACCTGCTCCATCACAGGCATCTCACAAGGTCACACCATCCTTCAGGCATCCACCTGCAGCCCTGGAGGTTCCACCAAGAGGGAACATGTTCCTAACAAAAAGCTGCCCTGTTCCAGAGCTTGACAGAAACTAGCCTCCCTCTGGGGCTTCCTGCCTCAGTCCTCAGGGAGTAACACAGAACAAGTGAAGTTTCCTGTAATTCAAAGGAGGTGAGCAGTGTTAAGAGCTCATCCCATGTTGTATACTTCCCTCTAGCTTGTCTCTCCCTCACCTGAAATGCTGTGTTGAAGCCAGTTTAAGGATGGACAGCTGTCTTTCAAGCATGTAGTGACTATCATTTCTCTCTGAAGGCTCTGTGCTAGAATATTTCACAGCTTTATCTGGGTTTGCTTGTTCAGCCAAGCATCATAGGGCCTCCCTACCTGTGCTCCAGAGTACCACAGGGCCTCTCAAAGTGTAGAATAAACCAGAGCACAGGGCCAGTCCCAGATGAAGTTCTATGTCCTCTCTTTGGCATCCGCCAGTGCTAAGCAATGAGAGCTGAACTGGATGCCATGGTGGGTGTGAGGCCTCTTTGAAGACTTTCCTCCCTAGGAAGCTAGGAATGATGTGGTTGTCAGCTCTGGAGTGGTGGGTTCTCACAGTTCCAGAGTGGGGTTGAAGAGAGGTTTTAGTTCCAAACCATTTCTCTGCATCCGAGGAGCAAATGGTTAAGGGAAATTTCATTACAGAATCACTCCCCACTGGCTCTTCAGAGGGATCTACAGGATCTTTACAAACTTGGGCCTAGGAGAAACAGCTAACTTATCAACCATATTAATACTTTGCCTACTGAATCACAGGTGTGTTTGGTAGCTGACCTGTGTCAACTGGGCTGCAGTTAACCACAGTACTGAAGCCAGTGCTTGGAGTTTACTCAGGTTTGGGTATGACCTCCTTCTGTGCCAAATGTTGTGCAGTGCTCAGTGTGAAGGGGACAGGCCTTGTTCAGAGATTGCAGTGTGTGACCCTGAGACTTTCTCTGTAGAATGTCACAACCGGCATGGAGCTGAAAGCCACCAATGGAAAGATGCTTCCTGCCCTGACAGTCTTTTCTGAAAGCCTGCGCTACCTGAAGCAACATGCCCTGAACACCATTAAAGAGGCCTCTTTCCAAACCGTCTATGACGAGGAGGAGATCACCTGGGTCATTACTGTCCCAGCCATATGGAGCTCTGCTGCCAAGCAGTTCATGCGTTTGGCAGCAAAAGAGGTAAAAGCAGGGGTCATCCCACTGCCTCAAATTATCTTTGGACGTTTCTTTGCCCATCGAGGCAACTTGTTGAGGAACTCCTCAACAGGTCAACAATCTATATTTGAAATTCCATTCCACCTGGGAGAGAAATCTTCCACATTGAGGGTGGTAGGGGAGAGGATGTCCCAAAGTGGCAGTAACAACAGCTCTGCTCTATCCTCCCAGCACCATGTAGAAATGAGCCCCACAGAGATGGGCGGTGCAAGAACCACCACCCCTGCATGGGCTCCATGTGAGAACAGTCTCCCTAGCAGGTGGTGTTCATGCAGCAGTAATCTCAGCACCTTTTCTTGAACGACTCCTGTCTTTTGTGATTTTAGGCAGGAATGATCTCTGACATGCTCTCTAAAAATCTGATCATTGCCTTGGAGCCAGAGGCTGCATCGCTGTGGTGCAAACAGCTTCCACAGGAAGGGTTTATGGCAGACAGCAGCGACAAGAAGAAGTTTGAAGACTCCCCTGGGATCCAGTATGTTGTTGTTGACTGTGGAGGTAAAATTTCCCCTGATTAACAGGTACCATCTTTGCTGGGCATGGAGCGTGGCTGTTTCACAGTGTCCCCAAAGGTCTGCAGTGCAGTCCCAGAGCTTGGGCTCCACTCCTTCTGCTTGTGCTTGTCATGGGGTTTTTATTTTTACTTCTCACTTAATGAGATCCCATGGGCAGGCAGAAAAATAGGAGGAAAGAACAGGATTGTGTTTCACGCTATAGTGCACTTCAGGCCAGACAGTTACAACAAGAGCTCCTGCCATCACTCCAGATCAGCCTGCACCACATCCCAGCATCAGCCCCTGGCACACACCCACATCCTGTTGTATAGCCTGAGCTCACAGCCTCCTCCATAGGAGCAAGTGTAGCTAGTGCCCAGTGAACTGACCAAAGAAATTAGCTAGCAGACACTGTAGAGTAAATAATTTAAACTGTTTGATGAAGTAGTTCTTAGTACTCTTTCTAGTTTCTTGAGTGAGATTTTTTGGTGCGATGTGATTTTTCTGCTAAGAGCAGTCTGGTGATCATGAACAAATACTAAAAAGGCATCAAGAAGACCACAAGTTCCTGAGAGTCTTATCACCACTGTTCATCTTTACTCAGAGCTTGCATATTAAAAAGCAGGAGTAAACTATCTATGTGAGGAGGCCAGTCTCTGTCTGTGACAAGGAAAGAGATTGGCTTGTTCAGGGAGCAAGTCAGAGCATCCAGCTCTTATTGGAAATGACTGTAGGAGCCTTGAGAGACCAGGATTGTAAACAAAAGTGCATAAATTTAAGAAATCTAGAGAAGTACAAGAAACAGCAGAGGAGTGAGAATGAGAAAAGAAAGCAGTAGAAAATCACATTTTGCAAACGAGGGGTTAAGAAGGTAAGATTATATTCAGTGGAAGCTACAGACCTCATGTACTTTAAAGAAAACAGCTAAAATCATTAATGTTTGTGTGTGTAGGTGGCACAATAGACATCACGGTACATGAGATCCAAGAAAACCATTACCTGAAGGAGTTACACAAGGCAACTGGAGGTGGATGGGGAGGCAACAGAGTGGATGAAAACTTCGCTGATTTCCTCAGGGAAATATTCAGTGACGGTGTATGGGATGAATATGTAAAGAGCCACCCTACTGAATTCCAACATATGATGTACAACTTTGGTCTGCAGAAATGCTCTGCTAGCAGAGAGGCAGTCTACATACATTGCTACTACAACCTGATCAGAATGGCAGAACGCAAGAAGGACATCGCTCAATTCTTCGAAAAAGCACAGGGAGCTGTGTGGTCTGATGGGATGGTCATGATTACATACGAGAAAATGAAGAGCTTGTTTGACTACAGTATCAAAAACATAATTTGTACTTTGAGGGAAATTCTTGGCAAACCTGGGATGGCCAAGGTCCAATACATTTTGCTTGTGGGGGGCTTTGCGTCAAGCATCATTTTGAGAGATGCGATCAGTCAGGCCTTTAGCAATAAGTATCATGTCCTTTGTCCAGTGGAGGCCCAAGCGGCCATTGCAAAAGGGGCTGTTTTATTTGGAGTCAATCCACACCTTGTTACCTCAAGAATCAGTGCTAAGACATATGGTTTACAAGTATGTCAGGATTTTGATCATGCTATTCACGATGTCTCTAAACGGAGAGTCTCAAAAACTGGTGATTATGTTTATTGCACAGATCTCTTCATGAAATTGGTGGGAATCGGGGAGTCAGTGAATATAAATGAAGCTGCCCACTATGATTTATATCCAACAGAAGCAGATCAAACAGATGCACGCTTTGTTTTCTATTGCACAGAAAAACAGGATGCTCAGTACGTAGATGAGGAAGGTATCGAACAGCTTGGGTCCTGTACAGTGCCACTGCCAGACACACGTCTGGGAACGCAACGGCAGCTGAAGATGGAGGTTAAGTTTGGGCTCACTGAATTTAAAGCTACATGTACCGATGTTACTTCCAAAGAAAGTCGGACAGTTATAATAGATTTTTTAACTGTATAAGTACTCGGTATACTGAGCAACAGAGGCTGTAACTCTAGAGAGAAAATGGCTTTAGAGGGAGGCAGTATGGTCAAAGTTTGGACTCGATGATTTTGGAGATCTTTTCCACCCTTAACGATTCTAATGATTCAATGAATCCTACAATAGAGGAGGCAGTTGTACCAATAAGTCCATCATCTACCTTTCTGTTTACACAAGGAAACTGCTAGTCTGATTCTGTGGTTCCTGCCGTTGCTCACCAACCACCCTTTCAATCCAATTCAGACTTTCTGTTGTATCTGACAGCAGGTTTATCTGCTGCTTTATCTCTTGCCGTTTTAGCTTGCACCTCTGAACACAGTGGTCCCTACCA